AAAATTCTCTGTCTCCTAGCTTCTCACTGCCCTCTCTCCTCCCTTTTAAATCAAAACGTATCTTGAATTACTTGTGATAACCTCCCTTTTACTCTTCCGATTTTTAGAGATGAGAAAGCTGACACACTGCGAAGGATGGGGAGAGTAAGAAAACGGCTATTGATTGACTACTGTGTGCTTGGCTTGCTAGACACTTCCGATGATGCTCAGTGAAAGCGTTGCCCGCAAGAATGGATGTCTCTCCCTGATAAACACATGGCATTCAATACATTTGTTTTTTAATGAATAAATACACGAATGTATTCTTACCGTGTGAAACAAATACGATTCCTTATCACAGATGAGGAAACTGAAATTTAGGGAAGTTATACGACTTCCTCATACACAATACTCCAACATTTCATCTTCCTTGTGTCCTCACTGTTTAACCCCTTGCCTTGTTTCCTGTGTCCTCAGGGTTTTGCTCTTTACCCTGCCCAGAGAACGACCAGCTAAACAGACCAGAAGATTTACATCAATGGCTGCAAATGTACTGATAGAACCCACTCCTAGCGTCCTCGCCCTTTCCAGGGTTCTCTGAATTTTAATGCCAACCTTATGTGGACAGTGTCAACTCACGGAAATGGCTCCCTGGGAATTTCACGCTATCTCTCCTGATTTTATTTTGGTACTTCAGCGGCATTAAACACACACACACACACACACACACACACACACTCCACAGTAGATATTTTTCCTGGAGTCTGGACGCTTACATAAAAACGATGCGTTCATTTATAAATTTTATTTCAGGGTTGTTTGCATTTATCTTAGTCTACATTACGAGTAGACGACTGATTTTTGTATTGGCCCCTATCACTAGGGACGATTTTTAAGACCCATTAAAAATTGGCTCCTCCTCCATCTCTTCCCCACACTCCTCGGAACCTTACACGCTTCGGAGTACCGTGTAAAAACAGGCGCTTTTGGAAAGGACTTGAAAATTAAAATATGGCTCTGTGATTTTCAACACAAAGACCACAAACAGCGCTAGAGCACAAGAACTATTTAAAATATATCACATCCAGAAGTTGGAGGGCTACAAAGTACAAGTCGTCCAGGCCAGTCTGCAGAGACTGTTCTTGCTTCCGCTCTGCAAAAACCCGGCAGGCGACACGTCGCGACGAATTTCAGCTGCAGAAGAGGAAGAGCATCACCTGCAGTTCGACGCGTGGGAAACGCTGCGGGAAGGGGCTTGCGAGAAAGAGCACCAGAGAGGTGCGCGCCGCGGCGCTCCGGGGCAGCTCCGGTGCCGAGTGCGAGGAACGCCAGCGCTCGGCGGAGCCGGGGAGACGCCGCACGGTGGAGAGGGATACACGCCTCCGGGTAGACAGCGCTGCGACACTGGGGGCCGCCCCAGCCCCGAGCTCGCTCGCTGCTACTGTCGGGGAGGCGGACCCCGCAGGAGGATCCCGTCCGCGCCGCGGGGCGGGGGGCGAGGCGGGGCGCTGACGTCACCTCCCCTCCCCCACCTTCACCAAGAGGGAGGGAGTGGGGAAAGAGGCAGTGATCCGCCGCAGTTCCCGGTCGCAACTCCAAAACTCAGGGGCTTGCTGCCTGGACATGTCCTGACAAACTTGGCTTCTCCTCGGCCCTATTCCGTAGCCCTCGCGCACTCTCATTTAGCCTCCTCTTAGTGCTCAACTTTCCACCCAGGACGGGAGCCTCCGGAGATGTGGCCACCTGGGTCCGGGCAGCGCGGGCGGATCGCACTCTCGTTGGGGACATGCTGAAGATCGGAGGGAGGCAAAGTTGGTACTTCAGATACGGCTTTTAACAAATATCCAAATTGCTTGGGGATTACGGAGCTGCCGAGGACTTTAAAGCCAGCACCCAAGGACTCGAGTGGCTGGACTGGTGAGTTCTTTGTTTAGTGTAAGCCTTTTGTATTTAAGTTTAAACGTAAATGAAATTACATGGGGTGTTTGACCCTGAGCTAGTGCGGGGAAGCGTGTGCATCCTACAGGCTCTCTGCCTGGCGAGCCGCACACCCCTCTGGTTGTACATGGCTCGGGAATGGAAAGATCAGTCTGCACAGGTTTTGGAATTCATAAAATACATACATAGCACTGTTCAAAAGAACTTGAAAAGCTATGCTGTTTGTGCGTTATTTTGAATGTAACTTATTATAGAAATGGTGCCCAGGGAGGGCGCAACTCGGGGCCGCGCGATCTGCAGTGGCGCAGCGCCCTCTAGTCCGGACACCCGGCAAGGCGCGCGATCCCTGCTGGGTTCCGCGCGCGGACAGAGAACTTGGACCTTCCGGGCGCTCCTGGGACGTGGGCGTGAGCTCGCAGCCTTCACTTACCACCCACTCCGGCCCATTCGCTATCTAATTTTCAAATACTAGCTTGGGTGGACTGGTTGGAGAGGCGGTGCTGGAGGAAAGCGTTTTTGTTTTCAGGAACCGTCCCCTATTCCCCTAATTTCCAAAAGCCTTTGGGGACAGGGTTAGGGAGGGCCAACAATCGAAAGGACAAACGTGGAGCTTGAACTACATTTCTCTTGTGAAGGTAATTCGATGGTAGCAAAGAGGCATCGGTATTTCGTTTCGTTAGGGCTAAAGGAGTAGAAAAACGTAGCAGCGCCAGAGTCTGAAATCTCCATCTCTGGCTCTCGGCTGTTCCTGTGGCGAAAAAGTGCAACTTCTTCCAGGCAATTAGGTTTCGCAGTGAGCCTGGAAAATCGGGATTCCCAAACATGTTTTAGTTCGAGTGAGGGTTTTTATTTATTAATGAATGGTAATTTTCTTCAGGAATTTTTTTTTTTTTGTGCCATTTAAGACATCTTGTGATTTTATGTTACGGGATGATGTCTTTTTACTTTTTACTGTTCTTCTTTCCCCTCCAACTCTCCCTCCCTCCCCCAGCAAACCGTTGGCGTCTGCGATTTGTTGAGTTAGAATTCGGCAAGGGGCGCAAACCGGTAGAGCTTGGAGATCAGGTCACCTATTTTCGAGGTGTTCCAAGTATAAAATTGACCTGTAACTCCAGGAGCACTTTGCGCATTTATGGCCATGGCCAAGTGTTTGGATGATGGTGTTTGCTGGGTGTGTGAATTTATCTGTATTCCAAATCATGCGCAGGGAATACACCACATACTCTTGGTGCCACGAATCAGCACATTCATTCTGCAGGCATTATTTTTCCTTCGCAGCCATAACCTGCTAGACACCTTTATTTTTTCAAACACCTTCTTTAGGATGGTTTAAGAAGACACTGCATTAACTTTGAACCAAGGAATTTCTCTCTTTAACCCTAGACTCCCTCGCCCGCATCTGCCTCGCAGTTCCCCCTGCAGCCCCCTCCACCGGTTCCGGGGAAATCAGATCTCTTTGTCCTCGCAGTGTTAAATGTTCGAGTCCCACAAACTTTTCGAGGTCATGTCCGCCCTCTTGTCTGGGTTGTTTTCCAATGCCCAGGAGCACTCCGGGCTTAGGCCGAGGCTCAGCTGTGCGGAGCCCGCGTCTGGAGATTTGCCGGCGCTGAGGATGGGCTCAGAGCCCCCGGACCCGGGACTGCGCGCTCGGGCGTGGGAGGACGGGGGGGGGGGGGGTTCCCGGAGTGGGGCGTCCAGACGCCCGGGGCTTCCCCTTCTCCCTAGGGAACTTGTAGTTTCACGTTAGACTCGGTTCACAGATTGTGGGGTGGACTTGCCGGCTGGCAAAGCGCACGAGGCGGCACAGCAGCCTATTGTCCCGCAGACGTGGGAGTCTGGGGTGGCCGCCGGAAGAGGCCGGTATTGGGGTTCGTAACCAGGGTCGGGGAGGTTATGGGGTTTAACTACCTCTGCACAGTGAAGAGGCGGAGGAAGCGCTTTCATTTTCCCTGGATCTTCATGTAGACTGAAGAAGGAAGTAGATTCGATCTAACCGCATTCCTTTTGAGACCTTTTGGAAGATTTTTTTCCACCGAGCAATTGCAGACCCAGAACAGAGGCTTTCAAATGCAGATTTAGGAATTCCTTGAAGGTTCTAGAGAATCTAAAGGGAGCCGGGGGAAGCTTTAGTAGCCTTAGCTGGCTTTTTTTTTTCTTTTTCAAAGCTAAACTGTTTCCCCTTTCTTAGCAGGAAACATTCCATACTAATTCCCTGCACAAATCTGTGTACTAGCCGTAACTAACAGCCGCACTACAGCAAGCCCCACACTGTTCCTCGGAGTGTCGCAAGATCACCCTGGACACTCGCTTTTCTCCTCGGGAGGAGTTGGCGGCTGTAGCGGCAGGGGATCACTGACCCGTGGCGGGGAGTCGTTGCCCCGGACCCGCGAGCTCAGTCTGGCCGCTAGGGAAAGTCAGATCGAGTTTCCGCGCGGGAGAAACGAGCGCCGGCGCTCGCGGGCGTGGCTGCGGGCGGAGGGATATATTCCGCGCCGGGCGCGTGAGGCGCCGCTCCCGAGCCGGGCGGCTTCGGAGCGGGGCGCGCGGACGGCGAGCAGCGGCCTCGGAGCGGGGTGCGCGGAGAGCGAGGGAGGGCCGTAGACACCATGCGGACCCGCCGGCCCAGTGAGGCCCCCTGAGGACCCGGCCCCCACTCGGGGGCGCGCTGAGGCGACGAGGCGCGCGTCCTCGAGAGCGCCGCGGCCGCTTGGGGCCAACTTTTCTGTAAGTTTGCTAGAAACGAAGTTGGGGCTGGAGGGCGGGTGAACGAGGGGCGCAGCGAGGCGCCGGGGCTGCCAGTGCGCGGCCGGGGCCGGTGCGGTCTATGCCCGGGAGGCATGCAGTTCGCTGTTTCGGGGTGGCGGACTTTGGGCTGCACTGGTGCGCTTCCCTCGCTGTCCAGCCCAGGACCGCGCTCCCGCGGGGGCTCTGGAAAATGGGATGCAAGCAAGCTCCGCTGGAAGGTGGTATAGTGCGGCGGCGCCTGCCCACTTGAAAAGCTCGGGACGGGCTCGGGATTCGGACGGCTCGGGGAGGACGCGGGGGCGGAGGCGTGGGAGGGGGTAATTTGCAACGTGAACCGAATGGTAATTTTCGAGCCGGGTGCAGGCTGCGGCGGCGGCCTGGGCTGCAAGGGTCTGGTCCTGGAGCCATTGCTGGAAATCAAAGCGGCGGCCGTGGCGCGGGGCTACGGGGCGGCCGGAGGGCGAGGACTTCCGCTGCGCCCGGGAGCTTGGAAACTTCACCGCCGCGCCCCGCTCGCTGTCCCCGGTAACTCTCGTGCCTGCTAATGACTTAACTGATCTCGCCCCTAGGTTAATTCTTCCAATTTATGAGAGAGTCCCAGCGTAGGTGAGATGAAAGAGGCCAGTAGCCAAAGAGATGAGATCTTTGAAATGGAGTCCCAGAGTTCTCTTAGATGTTTTGTGCCCCGAGGGAGCGCTGCTCTGAGGGTTAAGTACTAACTGGTTGAATGTAGATAGAATAGGTGCGATTGATAAATTGCGGGGCTAAACTTTTATTAGTTTTTTTTTTCTAGAAGAGAAACTTGTAAGGCCTTTTTTTTTTTTTAAAGAAAGGGAATTTCATTCTTCACTGCTTTTTCTTACAGTGCTTTCTTCCAGGAAGCTAACTTTTTGTTGTCTCCGTGAGATTTTTTGTTCCCACTGATGTGAATTGCAGAACATTGAAAACAAGGACGCAATTGTATGCATTAGGAAAGTAAACTCTATTTTTTATGCACTTAAGTTTTTTTTTTTTTTGCATGTGTTTTAACTACGGTTTCATTAAGTGTCTTTTGTTAAACAACTCTGATGCTTGGTAGATTTTATTTTCATTTTTTACCGGATATGTATAGTATTAAAATCGGGAAAAAAATTAAAAGGCATATGATCTTCATTTTTTATCTTTAATAAAGGCAGTTTTTTTTTTTTTTAAATGCAGCTTCTTAAGGCTTTGTATGTTCGGACTCGGGTTTCAATAGTTGGAGGTATCTGCACGTGTTAAAAGTAGGCTATGGTAGTATTTTTTCATATTCTTAGAGTTGTGGTTGTTTCCCAACATGTCCAGTTGTTAGTTATTCATGAAAATGTGTTTCTGCAGTTGTATAGATTAGTATATATAAAATATATGATATTTGGCTTTGAGTTTTAAAAGAAGAGCTCTGGTTCCACAATTAGAATTATTATTCCTCCTTATTGTAGTATTAAACTTCAAGATGGATTTAAAAATACTTGAAGCATTACATAATTTTTTAAAAAAACAATTGATATAACTCTAAGTTAAGCCAAACATGGCATTTAATAAGCTCAGCATAAGGTTGGATTTCAATAAAGTGTGCATTTGTGTACCCATTTCTTGAAAAAGGAATATCTTAAATGAGCCAGATTCTTTTGTAACTCTGAAAGGAAGCAAGATTGTTAGAGGACTTAATAAAAGCATTCAGGCCACCTGTATATTCCTTGTATCTTTTAATTAGTTACTAAAGTCCCTGCAGTGGGTTATCATCACGTTAATAGATCATTTAGTCCATGTGTGGACAAGTGCCAAAAGGGGAATCTGAAAATTATGCGTAAAGTGTTTTTGGTCCCTAGCTCCCCTGCCTCTCTAGTGTGTATGTCTGTAGACTTAGCTCTTGAGCCACCTCTGAAGCAGTTATTTGAATGTTAGAGGTGAAAGGGATCTTACCGGTTATTTTAACCTCCCTATCAAGTTGGCCACCACCTGTTTTCCACCCAAGTTTGGCTGATTTTACATAGACTCAGTAAACTGAAACAAATTAGTGCATTGTTGCATTAAATGTTGTCTCAGTGGCCTAATTTGTGGCCTAAAGGACCTGACTTAATAGCAGGAAGCCATAAGGCAAGGTGTCTGTTTAATCTTTATGAGTGGGAAATTGCAGTAGGTAAGCTTTCTTTTGACCAAATTATATAGATGATGAAGCCAAAGTATTTTTTTTTTTTTTTTGGTCTCACTTAATTGGTCAATTTGCAAGTGTTAGGTTATCCTTAGGCACTGGAAAGGAGTTTTTGAAATGAGTGATCTAGGTCATTCATTTAAGATCCATACGTTGCCATTTTGTCTTCTGATTTCAAAATGTAGTCCATCAGATGAAGAATCTGTGTATTTCACATTTTAAACTTTTTTGAAAACTTAACCTTTCTTTAAGCCCCAGATTTAAATATATTGCCAAAATTCTTGCTTAATCCCAAAGGCTCATTATATGTGTGGATATATATTTATAATTGTCTTTTTTACAAGGTATTTAGGAAAATCAGGCAATATTTAATCGTTATCCTTCATAGACTATTCGAACAGAGAGCTTCCATAAGCTCTGCATCGCAGAAACTGATCTGGCATCTCCTGTAGCCAATTTGGAAGCATTTTGAGGTGGGTGGTGACCTCTTTCTCAGCTGCTAGAAATCAGAGCTATCTCTAGGGTAGCCATCTGCACTGTTGTAACTGGCCTGGTGGTTGCACCTGGATTTTCTGTTAATTTCAGAAGGATGGGTATATATTTTCCCATGTTATCCCTCCTTCCCTTCCCTCCCCTCCTGGAGTCCTGCCTCCCATTCTTCATGCATTCATGAACTCAGCAACTATGGATCTCCTCTGTGTCGAATATTGGGCCAGACACAGGATACAGGGTGAAGAGATCACATTTCCTGCCCTCATGGAGCTTACAGTCCAGTGGGGGAGAAGGACAAATAAGCAATCGGTTATATCCAGCATGATAAGAGCAGAGTAGTTCATCCTAGCACCTTGGTGAGCTGGGTAGGGGCGGGGAGGTGGATATTAGGCTGAGCTCTGAGGGAAGAGTGAATCAGAAGGGAATAATTCAAGGACAGGAAATGACATGTGTAAAACAAATTGTAGAAACCTTAGTTGTGACATGATTTGTGGCATGCTGAAGCATACCATGTTATCGTTAGGAAAAGGGTTGGTTGGTTTATTATAAATGCCTCTTCGATCCCGTTTTTACATGACTTAAAAATTTTTTTTTTTTTTTTTTTGGTGCAAGTAGAATGTAGAAAATCCATGACCTGGGCTTACATTGGTTTATAGAGAGGGAGGGTAGTTTTTGGGGGGCGGGTGTTAAGGAGGGAAGGAAAGAAAGAAATGTAGAAGACAGAGGTGACAATAACTAAATGTGAGGAGTGAAGGGCAGGAAAAACAATGTTTAGTTTATCTTTTATAAGAAGGCAGGGGATGGAGATCTTGCAAGTTTAGAACCCTCACCACTAGGTGGTGTCATCTGCTCCGGACAGCTTGGTTGTTCCAGCCTGTGGAAGTATGCCTTTTTCGTTTGAAATAGAAAGTAAATTAATTAGAGATTCAGTTAGTAAAGTAGGTAGAGGTAAAATTATCAGAGGTCTTTGATACAGGGCTAAGAAGAATGTATTTAATAAGCAGACTAGGGGGAAATACTGAATATGTGCAAACCAGGAACTAATGTCGCAAAGAAGTTTTTGTGAGATTAATGTGATTGCCCAGCGTTGACAGGCTAGGTTAGTAAGGGGGCCAGAAAGCGGGAATACTGGAAAGCTAGGATATTCTGTGCCTGAGCAAATACAAATAAGAACTAGGTGGCAGCAGCTGAAACGGAAAGGGAGCAATTTTGAGAAATTGAGCGGAAACAAATGTCCAGTCTCGATAACTTTAGGTATGGAGGTTTGGTAGTTAGAAATAAAAGATCAGCTTGTGTGTGAGAGAGGGAAGTGGTGGGGGCAGCGTGGGGAGGAGAGAAGTGTCTCCCTGGAGGGAGGAAGCTGTAAAGATTTTAGTACAGTCTCCAGCTTTCCAAATAAAGAAATGGAATCCAAGGATTAGGTAACTTCCTTGAATCCACGCACTTGGTTAGGGCTCAAAGCCTGGGCAAGATCACAGTTTTTATGTCTGCCAGTCCCTTTTTTCTTATTTGATTTCTTAGGTCGCAAGCCTGAGTGATTTGTGACTTGGGCAGTGGTGAAACCTCACTGGCCTAGAAATGTGCAATGGAATAATAGAGTGGAATGGCTGGTATTTTGCAATTGGGAGTGGGTGAAAGGCTGGGTCCCAGAGATCTGATGGTAATCTCAGGAGGGGTGTTCCCGCTCTTGAGGGAGGTTAAGGCTGGAATGTGGGATTCCAAAGTGATCCTTTACAGCCAGGGTGTAGTGGGTGAGGTCTTTAAGGATGATACCTTGTGCATGTGTAAAAAGAGTCGGAAGACAGAAGTCTGTGATGACAAACTTGAAGGCGAAAGAGTGTTGAAGAGAATGAGGAAAACTTAGTGTCATTCATCGTTTGACGTGTCGTGGATTGCCATGTTTTAGGCAGTCTGTGACACGTAAAGGACACAGTGGTATTGGGGAGGGTGTGGGTAGTGTGACATTGAGTCGGAGTGCTGAGAAAAGGGCATCTGATTTGACATTGGCTTTGGCTTGTGACACCGGGAGAAGCTGTTTGTGAGGCCCTGGAGAGCCCTTGAGGGGAGAAATGGCCTCTTGACAGGAGGCAGAAGTCAAGGTAGCCCTGAGCAGGTACGTTTTTAAAAACTTTGCCTGAACAAGAAAGAGAAACCTAAGATGTGAGTTTGAAGGAAGTGAAGGTTTGAAGTTTATTTTCAAATAGGGACAAACTGTGTGTGTGTGTGTGTGTGTGTGTGTGTGGACTCTGAAAGGGGCTTGTTGAGAAGGGGTCATTTGAGTGATGCTTGAGAGGGAAGAGCATCAGAAGAGGCAGAATTTTATGGCCTCACAGGGTGTCTTTATTTTTAGCTAGGGTGGGTCCCATCTCTTCTGAGAGGTGGGAAGAAGGGAGAATAGGGGAAGAGAGCATTTTTTTTTTTTATTTTATTTTTAAAGATTTTATTTCTTTATTTGACAGAGAGAGAGACACAGAAAGGGAACACAAGCAGGGGGA